GGGGGGGGGGGGGGGGGGGAGGTTTCTAAAACAATAAATATCAAGAGTTTGACAAAATATTTTGAAAGTTTCAATCCTTATCTCTGAACTGATTCGTTCCTTTATTTGTTCCATTAGCATTGTCCTGTATCAAACAGATGTGCAGGTAGAGGTCTTCACGCTCACCACCCTAGGGACTGTCTGTTCTTTTTGAGAGACAGAGAACCAGAAGAATTGAAAAAGCTTCTTGATGAACATAATGTACAGTACAACACTGAACCTCCTCAGAGGCCTGCGGCAGGTAAGAATGATGTATTATATACTGAACAATAACAGTAGTAGCAGCAACAACACTAGAAGAGGTGACGAAAACAAAAGTAAGAACAACAGCAGTAAAACAGCAGCAACAACAAGAGCCAGAAACAACAATAACGGAACAATAACAAGAGCAGCAGTAAAAGTAGTGAAACAGCAGGAACAACGACGGCAACGACTGCAACAACAGCATCAACAAAAGCAACAGCGATGTTCCTTAATACCCGGAGAACGAAAACACGGTGAAATATATAAACGACATTTTTCAGTAATAACCTCCAGGTATGCCTTCTAGGTGCTGTAAACCACGGATACCAGGAAGGGGAAGAAAGTGAAGTCCAAGGTGCGGCAGCAGCAGCAGCAGGAGGAGGAGCAGCAGCTGATGTAGGACGCTGTAATGTGATGGAACAACGAGAAACTGGTAACGGCTTGCAGGATGTCGAGTGCGGTAGAGAAACTCCTGCTGGATACGCGGGGCTTTGTAGGTAAGGGTTGTGTCTTATCTTTCTTTAGTGACTAAGTACGCGCCTCTCTCTGCTCTCACCTAGTCTTACTTCATGGCCTTGGTGGTGCGTGAACTTCAATAGAGACCTTTAGCAACACGCTCTTACTTCAGTTCGACGTCAGACGTTTTCCTTCAAACTTTCAACATTTATCAAGGCGTCATAACGAAGTTGTCGTTGGAAGAGTGGCCATATTGAATTTCATTGATGCCGAGTGTTTCTCCGTGTTTGCTGGCGTTTTTCGGGGCCTGATTTCTAGCGGTCAAGTGGTTAGAGTCAGCGGTAAACACGATGCTAAAAGTCTCTATTAATATCCTGAAATGAACCTCTCTATTGATCTATGTCAGGCCACACTCACTCATTCACAATTCAAATTGAATATCTACAGCCATTAGATGAATAGTTAGTGCGCCATGACTTTTTACTAACTCAGAATTTTCAGCATTGATTCTAAATTAAGTGAATGGTTGAATGGTAAAATATGTTTATATGGTTTGAGTGATGCGCATCTTGGTTTATGCTTCCAATATGTTAATGATGTGACGTCAAAGGAAGCAATATTAAATATACAAAACTATTCTTGGGCAGTGAAATATCCTGTATGGAACATCATTGTCTTACTCGGGGTTTATAGAAAAGTTCTAGCAAAAAAATCTCATAGTAATCAGTGTTTCGATTTCCATGTGATGGCAGATAAACTGAATATAAATATTTTACCATTCAACCATTCACTTAATTTAGAATCAATGCTGAAAATTTTGAGTTAGGTGTCATAGGCACTTAAGTCTTGCGAAGGGAGAAAAACCAGAGAAAAACCTTCAAATCAAGGCAAGAGACCTAACAAACTCTACTCACATGTGATCCCGAGTCCAAGAATCGAACCCGCGTGTCTAGAGCTGAGATGCGAGTGAAGTACTTCTATCAACCCTTAGTTGATGGTCGTTTTACGAGACCCTGAGTGTCTTGTACTGAATTTTCTTTCCAGGTTGCATTTTAAGGAATACCTTGTTGAGAAAATAAACGCGAACCTTATTGATCCACTGGGAATGTTCGATATTAATGATCTAGAGGTTTTGATTAATCGCAACGATCAAGAACCGCCTGCAAGGAAGTCACGAGAGAAAGATGGACCGTTCCGTGAGCGTCTGGTACAGGTAAGCTGTCATGTCAATCTACTTGTTCTGATTTATTAAACCCTGTGAAAAACACACGGGTTGTAGAGCAGTTTCCGTGTGACTGTGAAAAGCGCAGTGCCGTAAGCTTGCCGTGCCGTGCCGTCCGTGCCTTGTTCATACCATGTTCCGGGCATTTGATTGGATGCAGAGTAAATTCTCGAGCAATGTGTTTTGTCTGGCGTATTCCTTTGCTGTGTCACGTCCGTGTTCGTGCCGTGAGCTTTTCACAGTCATACGAAAACTGCCCTAAATAGGTCGTAGTTGTAGCGTTCTCATTGGATGAGCAATATAGAACCCGGAGCAAAACCCTCGAAGCACAGGAGAGAACCAACAAACAACTCACATGCGACACCGAGTCTGGCGGGACTCGAACCCTCGGGTCGCATTGATGAGAACTGTCGCTTTCACTGCTACGCCATCATGAATTCCAAAAAAAAAAAAAAACTATTGACTAAAGTTTATTTTTTTGTTTATTTATATTTAGTTCGTTCAAGCTCATTTTCCATTACCCAATATGCCTCCACGAAGACGAGTACTAAATATAGACGAGGCTGTAGCTGAAGACCAGGTTCATTTAATTTTGAACGAAGAAGAACGGGACGGCCCGCCTCTTGACAGGTTTGCACCTGATGTACAGGGAATAGTCAACGATGCTCTAGTCAATGATGGATTCGATGGGGTCATTCAAGATGATTTACCAGATGATGATCTTAATGATGACTTATTTGATGGTGGTTTACCAGATGATGACATTTATGATGACTTTCCTGATGATGGTTTACCTGATGATGATATTTATGACGGTTACGGTTCTGATTTTTGATACTGACCCATATAAAAAGGTTAGATATCGTTATACACATATATCCTAACCTTAAATCTGCTTGAAATATATAATGAACTTTGCGCACTAGTATACGATATTGAAACTTTTTTCTACTAATCCAGTTTTTGGTTGGACAGACCTTTTTTGAGTAAGATAAAGTGCCAAATGCATTGTTACCTAACTTGGGTGCAAACGTCAAGGTATAATGAACAAAAGTCAGATGTTTATACCAAAGCTTGGCCACAATCATACCTGCGTCATTCAAATGATATTTGAAATAATGACAGCTTTTGGGTCCCATAAGCCTCGTTTAAATTCCGATAAACAGGAAGCACTATGCTTTAACTTGGGTGCAAACGCTAATAAGTCTAATGGCCTTTGGATTTTGTGAAATTCAGAAAAAGGTCTACGAGGGATCATCTGTCGATATCTTTGGTTGTGGAACAAATCATTGAAATAATGGCGCGCTTTTCAAGTTTCTGCTTCCGGCAGCACAACTTTCAGCGGCGCCTGGGTTTTTGTCTTCCTTCAACCAAAATATTGCTAATTCACTTAGAAAGTTGTATATACGAAACTGAAGTCAGCCAAAACAGGAGCTGTTGAGCTGTTGTCTGGGCTGCAAAAACATGTAAAGAGTCTACGAATAATTATATTATTTCGACAGCTCAAAATTAAGTCGACAGCTCAAAGTTATATGTTCTCATGATAGCAAGTATCAATTATTTGACAGATAAATATGGACTTAATTGCTATACTTGGCTGTCCAAGCCTTATCTCTAGGCTTACCTTGCTGAAGGTTTTGTTTTGTTGCATACCAAGCCCGAAATGCACTATGGTCAATGTGAATTCAATCAGAGAAAGGTCACAGAAATATAGAATGTTACCAAACTTCGTCTCTACGTTTTCCGGTATATTTTCTTCTGCGCTGACATGATTTACAATTTGATCCATAATACAATTCAGGCTTGTTGGCATACAACATTAAACAAAACCTACACCAAAGTGTTTTCTTAAATAGACCCTTTGCATGCAGCTCCATCTGGGGGACAAAACAATAAGTTCCAATTCTCAAAAGATTGGAATTCTTTTGTTTTGTCCCCCAGATCGAGCTGCTTTGACGTCATATGCAAGGTGTCTATATCGTAGTAAAGTCGTAGGCCACAAAAGGGCATACGAAGCTTTGATGCCTGTTGCTAGATTTGTGACTATATCGTAGTAAAGTCGTAGGCC